AATAAAACGAACGATTTATTGAATTAAAATCAATATTTCTTTTACAATTTTAACTGTGGGCAAAATATATAATACTTTAGTTGGTACTATACCCCTATTCTTACTATCTTAATTTTCCGTAATGGGCTTTTTATAACGTCTATTTTATAAAATGTGCTGAATAAATACATGTCTTTACATATTTTTATTTCCATCAATATTCACTCCTGTTTGCCTTTCCATGTGAAAACTATTCACTTAATTTTGAATTAAACATAATATATTATATTTGCATTTATTATCAATAATATTGGGAAAATCAAAATCAATTATTACAGCACTGACATACATTGTGTATTTAACATTGATGGAGATGAAGGTTATTATTATTAAATTAGATTGGATTGATGTGACTTGTGGAAACAAAAGACTTTTTTTTTGTGAACAGATTTTGCATGATTTCTCAGCATTATTTTTTTCGGGGCTAAAAAATTGTTATTTAAAATGTTTATTCTATGCTTCGTCAAACAAACTAACGGCGGTCTTCTATGCATGCATTTTCCTAGATGTGAAAGTTGTGACGTTTTGAGGGGCTAGGACTCTAGACATAATAAATAAAAGTATATAATTATAATCAAAGCTCTTAAGATATCGACGTACTTTTTTTTTATAGGCCTAGAACGGACTGAGATGTCTGTACTCTTTATGAGTGCTTTTATCAAGAACCCGGAAAATTATTATTTATTATCGCATTATAATGTTTCATTAACAATTATTTCAAATTAACGAAAATAATGTTTAAAAAATAACAACAATATAAAAAACTAAATTTAGCATGAGTCAGAGCCATCTATTGGTTGTCCTACAATAGATAAATAATAATAGAAAGGTAAAGTACCGTTTTGATGCCTCACTTTGCATTCATGCAGTCTGAATTCTGAATCAGAACGCGTCCAATCTATAGTCGTAACAAAGGTAAAGCAGATGGCGACACTTAATTTAAATGGCAACAAATGACCATCTTATTAAAAACAAGCAATTGAAACAAAGCATAAAATTATCAGCATAATATTGGTCGACACATTGATAACAAATATGTTAATACATCATATAATAATTTTCTGTAAACACTTTTTCACATTTTTTAAAAAAAAGACTCTGTTATGACTTCAAACAGTAGTAGCGTCAGTCTAAAAGGAACAACTTTTTACCGCCATCTTACGTCCAAGCTGTCAACTTCAGTCGTTTTTGGTGGAGTAATATTCTATCGTTCCATATGTTTTGTGTGCAGCAAAACTAAAATACTTGCGCGTTACAAGAGTGTTCGTAATTTTATTGGCAACTTTTAGAACATATACGGTTTAATAATGTGGCGCAAAATTCAAGTGAAAATCACAAATCCCGTTTAAAGAAGATATACATCAAGCTCTTCTGAGAATGCGACGATTAAAAATGTCGTAGTATCGTATGGAATCGATCGTTTCTGTTGAAAGAAACGTAAATACTTTCAGTTACAAGAAATTTTTCAACTCTTTTGGTATTTTCATGTAACAGTAACAGCTACGATGTCGGAAATTAAACAAGTGAAAGTTGATAATTGGGGAATATACTTTCTTCAACGTTTAAAGCATTTCTTCAATCGCACCGATTATTGTGACCTGACTCTACGATTTCAAGATAATGCACAACTTAAGGTACATAGATTGGTTCTCAGTGCTTGTACGGAGTACTTTGAACTTCTTGAAAGAACATGTGAAATGTATGAAGATTGTTTGGTTATGCCGGACGATTTACAAGCGGATGTTGTAGTTCCTATCGTGAACTTCATGTACACTGGGCAACTTGATTTCAAACCGGAGTTATTGGAAAAACTGTACCAAACATCACAGGTAATGAATATGCCAGTTCTAACCAAATTACTTGATGCTCATAGAAATCAGCCGCAAAGGGTAACGCCAACGCACGATTACCGTAACATTAAATCGTATTCTAAAACATTTAATTCTACAAAGCAATCAAAACCCTTGACTGCAGTTGCTTCTACTAGTTACATGCCTACCAAACGATCATATAGCAAAGCATTTAATAATAGTCCAGTTACATCAAAAATTAAAAAGCAGATCATTGATAAATCATTTAACAAGGAAAAGGTATCAAATAATGGCATTCAACAATCTTATTCAGAACCAGAATATCCCATAATGAGCAGCAAAAACACAGTATTTAAAGATCCACGTCCGACAAGGTATGAGCTGCCAGAAGAACTAGATGTAGAAAATGTCTTTGAATCATCTTTTACCAGTATATCTTATACATCTACACCTTTAATGGTCCATCCTGAAACTGCGAAACGCTATTCATCAAAAAGAAACAGCACTTTTGATGAAACATCCAGTACTAAGAAGTTTATGCATAATACGTCCACCGCAGATATTGTAGAATGCAAGAAAATTTCATTGAATGATAATATTTTTGAAGATGAAAATTCGGAAAATTGTCCTGACGACATTTTTGCATCAATTTCAATAAACTCAAATAATGAGCCAAAAGATACCAACCATCTTTTTGACCAAATTTTAGACAGTGACAGTCAAAAATCTACTATAGAGTCGATGGAAACGGAAAGAACCAAGCCGAAGCTGGATCATGCCAAAATAATTAGTGAGGTTTTAAAAAAATATCCCCATTTGGTCAAGAGTAATAAAAATATAAAATTGAAAATCCTTAACACACCTAGCAAAGCAAAAAAAATCAGAAACACATCAAGTGTCTTCAATGAAGAAAAATATGTAAAACCAAAAGTTGAACCACCAGACTTTACATATGAATCTGATGTCATTGACTCGAAAGAAGCTGCAAAGTTAATAGCTATGGGTGCAGAAAATGTAAAGGGTCCTTGGATTTGTCTGATATGTGGTACACCAGGACGTGCTTTACACTTTACATCATATTACAAATTTCGACGACATTTAGTAGATGTACACAATGAAAAGCCAATCCCAAACGTCTGTGAGTATTGTGGCTTGAAATCTCTTAAAAGGAACTATATTTTGCATCATCTGTATACAAAACATGGTGTACCACCTCCACCACATTACAACTTTCCAAAATGTAATTATTGTAATTATATTGCATTAACTGAAGCATATCTTGTAAAGCACAAGCTGTCCCATGTTGAAAACAGAACTTTTGGATGCAATGTATGTGCTGAATCATTTAGTACTACAAACCAATTGCTTGTGCACATTCAGAAAACTGGTCATAAATATAGTGCTGATAGAAAATTCAATCATCAGTGCATATATTGCTTTAAAACATTTTCACGAGAAACAAATCTTTATGCTCACCTGAAAACACACCATAAACAATCTGCTACAAATGATGGAATTATTGATGAGTCTGATGATGAAAAACAGGGAATGAGACTGAAATTGCGTTCAGACAGAATTAAAAATTTATCTGTAAAATATGAAATTCCTGCTTCATTTGATAGTGAATACGAAAATATTGATATCCAGTACCATATAGAGCAAAAGCCAGATGGTAACATTCACATACTGCCTAAATCGCCTCAAACACCCACACCTTCAGCAACACATAAAATTCTGAACCCTGGCTTTAATTCACCAACAAAGTCAACACAAAAATCAAAGTTGCCAATAAACAATTCACTTAAATCAGAATTTCTTCAAGAACCTTCTATGTCTATAGTTAACAATCAAAATGATGGAGTTGTAATGATTGATGGTACTGAATATATTGTAAAAGACAATCAACTTATTCCGAAAAACCAAAATGTGAACAATGAAGAATACTTACTTTCTAATGTCATGACTGAAAGTGAGCATGGTGATGACAATTCCATACAAACAACTTCAATTGACGATTTCCCTGCAATACATGTGAATTCTGAGGAAGCTAAGACAACAGTGAAGAAATCATCAAATATTGGTCATCAACATATACAAATTGTTGTATCCAATGAAGAAGAGTATAAAGCTTTAATGTCAGCAAATCATTCAATAATTTTTGATGATAGTGACCCAAACAAAACACTGACAGTACTTAGTGCACCACAAAATTCTTCTCTTGAGGGTACTACCATAGACTTGGATACCCCACAATCTAATGACATGATGATTATTCAGGAAGAATATCCACTGTTGGCAACAAATGTTACTGAGACTGTTGTTGCGGAAAACCAAAATATAGTTGTGGTATATAGTCATCCAGTTGATGATCAAAATAAGCAATTTCAATACATTACATCACAGGGTATTGAAGCCCAATTTATTCAGTCATCGGCAATGATAACTCATAACTATGAAACTGTAACAACATCTACTCCTGTTATGAGTGCTCATGTAATGGATACACAAATGGACGAGTCTTGGCAAAATAATGCTAAACAAACTATTGAGACAGTGCCTCTAGAGTCTGAGCTACAGCAAGCTGATGTAACTATTCAAGAAAAACCAATAGAAAACTTCCAAAACTCCTTGACTAGTATTCAAGAAGTTTTACCAAAAACAGATGTACCTAACACAGAAACTAATGAAGACGTAACAAAAGAAACCATAACTCAAACATCTTTAGACAATGCAAATAACTTAAATAAAAAAAGTATGGATCAAGTATCGAAACAAGAGACAGATAAAATGTGTGCAATCAATATAGACATTACTACAGCAAATGAGCAATTGGTGGTACATAAAGAAATACAAACTGAGAATACTAATGAAAATAATTATAATTCAATTTTGATAAGTACCTTAGGTGATAACACTAATAAACAGATTAACATAATTCATGAAAATTCAAATGCCATAGAAACGGCATGTGACCCAAGTAAAGATGTTTCTATGCTAAACCCAATTAGCAGTAGTGTTGTTCAACTTAACGAAACCTGTACACAAGAAAAAAATATTACTCTACATGATATTAATCCAACACAGATTAGTAATATAGAAGTTACTGTCACAGAGGTTGCCAATGAACAAATACAACAATTAAATTCAGAAATGACTGAAAATAAATTGGAGAAAGAGGCGCCAAATAATGTGATTATTAATGTCGAAACGAAAAAACGAGTACATAATATAATGACTGTAGATGCAGATGGTTCAGTTTATGTAGAAGAGTCTATTGAAAACATACAACAGGAAATGGCAAAGCAAATGCAGGCTATTGTTACCAAAAATAATACACTTACAGTTCTGGAAACTGAAGCTTTAGTAAGTACAGTGCAATCAGATACAGAGAATAGAGATTTAAATCAGAAGGAAGTGATTCCTGAAACAACCATTCAGACTGATGTTTGTAAAATTGAGAACAAAACTGATATTGTTAACAACAAAACTAATATATTGATGGTAAATGATAATGGGGTAGAAAGTAACATTCCCCAATCAGTAGCAACCACTGCCGAATCATCCTCTGATATTCTTGATGCCAGTACTGAAGCACTTAAAGTTACTTTAGAAAATTCAGAATATAAAGTCGAAACAAAAGATCATGATAGTGTAACAATTGAAACAAACACAGCTGTAAATGTGGATACGGAGAATGCTCTGCCGGATCTAGTCGACCAAACAACAAATACCCCTGTTCCAAGCCCAAAAACTGAAATTGAAAAGTGTGATAGTCCACCAAAAAATGAAGAAACAAAAACATTAAAACAGCACACAGTTATTACCTTAAATAAAACTGCACATGATAAAATTTCCTCACTTCTTAATGACTGGGAAGACAACGACTCCCAACAAGATGAATGTAAAAATGAAACGGCCTTAAATTCAACTGAAGGAATAGATGTTGAAATTGTAAAAGAGGTCACGCCAGAAAAAATAAATTTTGCTAGTAATGACAACATAAAAAGCTTAGTAAGTGATTGGGATGATGATGATGAAGATGTAAAATGAATATAATGATAACTATTATAATAACTTTTGAAATCAAAATATTAAAACCAACAATGAATTGAAGGTAGATTTACCAGCATGAGTTGCTTCCAATCACATGTTGCCTCCAAGACATTTTACTTGTAAGATAAATAAAAATATTATTAATTTAAGTAAGTCATTAGAATTTATTTCACAAATAATTTTATTTGTAGAAAAGGATTGAAATAATTTGGTGGAATGTATGTCTTCTTTATACAAATTAAAAAAGTATAATGGTATTTAAGTTTTTTAGTAATATTTAGATAATAAAATAATTTAAGATTTATATTTAGTAGTTTAATGTAGTATCAAGAGGTAGGCTGACCACTTAGCAAATTATGTAACTGCTTGCTTATAAATGTATTTACTTAACCTAGCTCCTTGTCCAACTTTGTGATTGAATTAAAGGTTTTTTTATACAATGAGTTTTTTTTATAATGTACCAAAATTTATTTGATAACTGAAAAATCATTTCCAATGTAATTATTATTGTTGATAAATTTGACAATTAAATATGTTGTACATATTCTGATATCCTTAATTATAGAATTTATGTAGAAGATACTGTTTTATAATAATTATAAGAATTTTTAATTACCTAATACTTTATGTATACAATTATTATTATAATTAGTTTATATATGTACTTTGATCTTTCCTAGATATATATACTATGTAAAAGTTATTATTTATATACTAAATGATTTAATAAAATTTAAAGCTGTTAATATTTTTAACCACAATCTGTGTGTGTATATCCAAATATATGCATTACTAAAGTGAACAGACATGAAGACATATGTATGTTCAATGCACCACAATTAATCTGGTTGTAATTGTAAATAAATAGAGCCATAATTACATTTTCTGAGTTTGTTGTATAGATATGACAAAAGCAATATAGACAACTTTCTTATACAGTCCTTTCCTAAAATTATAATTAACTTGTGGTGCTCTCTACAAATTTTACTCATATATTATGTTGTTAAGTCATATCTTTCTTACATTTAATAAATTCATTCAAATAAGAACTGATTATATTCATAGAAATCCCAATTTTATGTAGCAGCATCAATTGAGAAAATGTAATCTCTTATAGTGTAATCATGCTTGTATTATGTATGTACCCCATGATTTGTACCTTGATGGTAATGAATATGTGAGAAATTAAACAATCCATTCATATAAGAATACTGTTTATTTGATTTTAACAACAAACCACTGGTATAATTTGTATAACATTGCATTTATGTACTTTTTTAATGTAATAAATTTTTTAAAAATTACTGATCTGTGTTAAGCTCTACTTTTTATATAATTGATTTTAATAGGCAAGCCTACCATGTTTTTCAGAAATATGATAGATTGACTCAACCTCTCAATTTGATATTATAAATTGTTAGGTAGAATTTTTCTCACACATTAATTAAAGTATTGTTTAACAAATTAATTTGACATTAATAAATGCAAGGAATTTGAACAAATATTTACAACTGATTAATTGGAATTAAGTGAAATAAATAGGTATTAAAATACTATGGTGGCAGAAGAAATCTGAATAAGATAGTGAAATTAAATAGCAATATGTGGTAATAAATTTTAGGTATTACAAATACACAAACAATTCAAATTAATTTTAAAGTACATATTTGTTACAATAGAAAGTTTAAGGAATGAATGCGAGTTTACTTAAATCACTTTAATTTTCTGTCACAATTGTTTCAAAATATATGACAGCAAGCACCAACTACTGCTAGCTTGGCATGTGTTTCTAACTTAATGTTATTAAAAGTTTGAATTCTTGCTCTGATTATTTGCATAATGAATAGTTGAAACTGCTATTAGCATAAATTTCTTTTGTAACTATTCAAGGGGATGCAAAATATTAAGCTATGTCATCACTAAACATATTTACAAAATAAGTTACAATATTTACATCTTTGTTTTAAAATTAAAGATAAATTTAAAAAAAAATTCTAATTATATCCATTGTATAACAATATTGGGTCTCTAATCAGATATAGAAATTAAAACATATTTAACCATATATGCCAGAAACACAAAACCAACAAGCACAAACAGATTTGTCAGAATATAATACATATTGGACTGTTGCTCTGTAGTCACTTCACAGTCACTATTGGTATCAGAGCTAGCGGCATGCATCAGTGCTTCTTGTCTGTGCTTTAACTGTTGCTCAATTTCTTCTACATATTCTGGAAAGAGCTCACAGAACATTTTATTCTTTATATTAATTTCAAGTGACTCAGCTGCCAAACAGCGCTTTTGATAGTCTGAAGTCTCTATAGAGCCTAATGTTGGAGTTTTCTCCAACATAAAGCTAAGAAGTCCTGTCAAAATAGTTGAAATCGACCATGCTGGGTTCCAAGTGTCGGGATGAAAATCGGTAATACTGAGACATAACCGCGTGTTCGTTTTAAATCTTCCATTTGGAGTTATCATGTAAATAGACGGCGGTTTAAAAGGAAATTCCCTAGGGAAAATTATCTTGCCATGATAATAACCCCCTTCGTACGGACTCTTTTCTGGACCTTTCACAACGTAATGCCACTCCAAAATGTTAGAAGGCACAGGTTCTGCAGTTACGTACGGCACTGGATCATTCTTGAGCCTTAGATAATCTTGCTTGAGTCTGCTAGTGGCACCCGTAACTTTACTTTTTGCCATAGTTTTTCGCATCCCTTATTTACTTTGAATAAAGTGAATCGCACTTTGTGGTGCATTAGCTTAGTAAATCAATTAAAACATATATATAGTTGCAATGCCACAAGTAGGATATTGTAACATGTAAAACAAATATTCACTTAGAAGAATGGTTAAAATACGTCATTACCGAAAAGACTTGCTTAGAGTGACATGTATGTATCTACATACAATTCAATACATGCCAATCTATGTCAATATTGTATAGTGGAAGTGACACAACATGACAATAATAAAATTGACAGTTAGGTTTTTTTTTTTCTTAAATAGTAGTAGTAACAAACAGACCTCCCACATAAAAATCTGTATGTTATTTTATAAGTGTAGTTTTCTGATAACCTAATGGCGGCTTTATTTGTGGGTAAACAACTCACGAACTCAGAAGAACAGCGTAACTGGCGCATAACGATGAAACGATACCTACTCGGGATGTCACACCTGCTCTCAAAGGATGGTGGTGGCGAAGACTGTCGTCGACATGAAATTGAAATCGACAAGTAGTCTCGCATATTTTTTAAGTCCGTCTGGTACTCCCAGAAAATGTAGCTTTTAGATCAAGTCCTAATGCTAGTTAAGCCCCATAAACCAGTAAAACGCAACCTGTGGTAGGTTGTAGAACCAAACGTTGACCTGCATTAACTGGCTTGCGATTACAATCTTCTGACACTACGGGAACCGCTTAAAGAGTTAATCAAATTGTTCGTTGAAAGAGTAGAATAACAATCTAAGCCTCTGGTGACAAACGTAGTGAATTCTTTATATTTATAGTAGTGGCTGTATCAAACTGTAGTAAACTTTAAAAGTGTACCAACTAAAAGCAGTCAAAGTATTGTTTTCATTGTAAAATCAAGTCCACACTTCAACAATATAACTTATGCCTTTTTAAGTTATTGCAGTGGCAACAAAGCCAAATAGTTCCACTTTTGGATGTTCTAAGATATCGCGTACGGGGAAGTTTTTTACGTTAGCGGTGGGCCTGGGCGCCACGACAATGAGTCGTTTACAAAGACCGTTTTGTGTTCTGCGCCGATAAATACATTATTTGTTTACATTTTTCCGAATCATTTGTATTGTAATTGAACAAGCGTAAAGTCGTTTGGCTAATTTTGGTTATTCTTTATATTTATGTGCGAATTTATAATAAGGTAAGTTGTAAAATAAATTAGTTTGTAAAATAGTAACTTATTATGTCTACGTCGCGAAGAAATAAAAGTGTTCTACGGTCATATTTGCTAAAGACAAAAAAAAAATTGCAAAAAAAAAAAAACAAAAATGTCATTTAAAACCTTAAGTTACAAATCAACAACAGCTTTAAGGAACAGTTTAAAAAGAAAACACATTCGAACGTTTTATATTTATAAAGTCAACAAATCATTTTGTCAACTATTCATTCATACATTAGAAACTTGTTGATAATTATAAAAAAAAATCACAATTTTGTTTGATAATTTTCGTCTTTGAAGCTGTCTTTCTATCAGTTGTAAAGGTGCACGACCCTTTTCTGTAGCCCTTTTTCGTCCGTCTGAAATTCAAAAAAGTTACCTTCGATGTAGGATTAAAGAGGGTAGAATTTTGCCGCCATTTTTATAAGATCTTCACAGCGCCGAAAGTTTTCGTTAATTTATCTACAAAAATTCACATTTTATGTTCGAATTTAAGAATCCAGAGACAAGCACTGCTGATTATCGTTAATCAATGATATTATATTCAACTAGAAGGTGGATTTGACCGATGAGCGCTCCGAAACTAAGACAATCAATTAACGGCAATTGGTGTAATTAAATAACATTGCAACTGCTATCCCTCTCCTTATCATACGTTCTACATCATCTGTCACATATATTATTATTTTTTTTTTTTTTTTATGTCAAAAGTTGCCAAACGAGCAGACGGTTCACCTGATGGTAAGTGAATACCGCCGCCCATGGACATCTGCTACACCCGAGGGTTACAGATGTGTTGACAACCTTTTGAATATATATTATTATATTTATGCCATATAATGTACAGAATTATATGTTTATGCCATATAATTTATTAAAACATCATTGTGGTTAATTATTCTTTGTACGGTGTTTCATACTGTGAAGTATGCATGATAGATGGCGCCAATCATTGCTAAATATGCAATAGAGAACGTAGATGGATTTCGAGATTTTCGCGGAGAGTTCATAGCCCGACTGCGTAAAGCGTCTGACTGAGCGCGCAACGCTGAGTGTTTATTCACATAACTACAATTTACATTTTAACATGATGGAGCTCAAAAGATGCGTTCAAAAATGCCAAAAAAATACCGTGGCGAGAATAGGCCCACTATTTTTCTCGGTAGTTCCATCGAATGCGAAGATGTATAGAGAGGAATGGAAACTACCTCAAACAACAATAAAATTATTTCAACTTTCTACATTCAGCCGTTTTATAATTTTCTAAGACCTTACAGTGTGAAGCGCGTACTTGCAAATAATTACAAAGAACACAAATTGCTAATGTATAAATGACATATATTCAGATGTTTTACCGACACAATTTAATTGCAAATATTCTTTTGTTCAACTAACCTTTTTAGGGCATTCGAAATTAGGTTGCTATGGTCACGTGGTGATTGGCTTAGTAGTATGAACAGCCATTACAACAAAGTAAGAATAATTACAAGATATTGAGTAACAAGTTTTAATTTATAACATTCGAAACAATTATTAAATAGAATTAATCAAGTGCCGCAGTTTATCAGGATGCTCCTTATTTCGTTGTTCAATTGTTTCAGTGTTGCCTCATCGGGACTGTCTTGACGCACGAGCCTGTCGCGTTGCGCGATAAGCTCGCCCAACTTGTCATTCATAGTGTTCTTTGAATCGTTTCTGTAAAATGAAACCGAAATCAAACCATCCTAATGAAGGAATGTGAAACCCTAATGTTTTTACAAGTTTTTAAAGTGCATGAAATAACTTTACAAGTCTTTATTATTTATTACATCCACTTTAATTGTTCTTCATTAAAGGTTTTAGAACTCACTTGGTTGTGGCGAACACGTCGATTCCATCAGGCCCGGAAATACCTGTTGTATATTAAGGTGTGTAACAGAGAATGATGAAACAAAGAACATTGTTAGTCACCGACATATAAAACTTAGAATGTTTATTTGTGTACCTGATAAATTTTAAATAAGAAATCCCACTAGTAACATTGTATTAAAACTACATAGGTTTTTATAACGGAATTGCAGAGAATTTAATGCTAAGATTTGGGATGTATATAACATACATCCCAAATCTTAGCATTAAATTGAAAACATATTAATATGATTCCATAGTTTAAGTTTTAATTTATCAAACACAATTCAGGAAATAAGTATTTTTTTCGCATGTTGCATATACATTTTTGTGTTTTTTAGCTAATAATAGAACTTATTAACATCATACTAATATAATAGTAACAATCGAAATTAGATCTTATTGCTTCGCTATTTACTCTGTTTCATTATGCAATGAATGAATGAAAAGTCAAGAAAAGGCCTAAATCCGTTTAATTTTTTTCAATACGCCATATAGGTTCTGAGGTTTTGTGAGTTATGTCGATACGAACTGACTTCTGAATGAAATCGGATTTTTTTATGTTTTGATATATCAGACGTATATGATTACAGTCAAGAAAATTCCTACAAGATTCACATGATGTACGTAAAAAAGTGTGTTTTTATGTAACACGTAAGAAGTTTCACTTCTTTGGCGTAACAAATGAAATATATTTAAAAATGGTATCCAATGTGCCAGTACAAAGGCACTAAATGCAATTGTTAACTGTTTAAATAACTTGGAATAATAGATAAATATCAAAAAGCTGATAGGTTGTCGGTGTCGCGCATCGTAAGAATTACAATATAATATTTTGATGCCACATTTTTACACAACATTCTGTATTACCAAACTTAGCAACGCTTTTGGTATAGGTACTAGATAACTTTTTTTTTTTTATGTGAGAAATTGGCAAACGAGCTGGCGGTTCACCTGATGTTAAGTGGTAACCGCCTGCCCATGGACATTTGCAACACCCGTAGGGTTGCAGATGCATTGCCACCTCTTAATAATGTGGGCCCCGGCTACCAAACTCACCAGACGAAACGCAGAAGTGCAACACTTCTACTTTACGCTGGTTTTCTGTTAGGTCGTGGTACTAACCCTGCCCATGCGTGCAACAGCGAACACTGTTGCGTGGCCCTACCACCGTAAAACAACACGTAACTGATAAACATACTTAAACATACTTTTCTTTTGCATATACATACATATTATGTAAATACCCAAGCACAGGAAAAACGCTATACTCATCAAAAATGTTGTAATTTTTCCAGTAGTGGGAATCGAACCCACACCCTCTGGCGCAAGTGGCAGGTACACCACCCACTACGCCAATCGGGTCATCAAAAATTCTCTCTCGTCATACTTCCCATACGCGCAAGAAGGAGTATAAATTGAAAAAGTGCAGTCAAAAGTGATACTAGCCGATCGTAGGGTGCGTTTCGAGGGGCGGCGTGTTCGCCAGGAGGTCCGCGTAGAAATCGTCCTTAAGTTTGTTGAGGTCCGCGTCGCTCTGGTCTCCGCTGTTCATTTCGTGGTCCTCGATCGTGTCCAGGCTGCGAAGAAGAAAGTTCAAAGTCGGCTTCAGTTGGTTTCATTAAGAGTGGTTTGAAAGTGTCAATATTCAATGTTACATTTTGTTAAAAACTCTTTAAGGACCATGCTGGATGAAACGGTATAGGTCTAGATATATATAAAATAAATAGATACAATAAAAAATATATATAAATACAAATTATACATATTATTAAACACCCAGGCGTTAAATTTCTGTTTATTCCATTATCACACAATATTTTCTTTCGAAACCGAGTTTTTTCGATAATTTATTTAGTAAATCTGTATTAAAAAAAGTCCCTATTATTGGAGCAGTTGGTTGTTTGCAACGGTAACGACAGGACGTGTGGCTTGCCGGGGTCACGTGGGGCGAGGGGGTCCAAGTCACGTAGAGGTCGTAGTGGGAGGCGGTCGGTCCCACCCGTGGGCCAGTCGCCTCGCTAGCGACAAGTGGTCAGTGTAGGTCAGGTGGGGGTAGTAGTGGGAGGCGGTCGGTCCCACCCGTGGGCCAGTCGCGTCGCCAGCGACACCCACCCGTGCGGCGCCAGGCGCCTCCTGTCCCTGCGCAGCTGCGCCAGCATCCGCCTGCGGCAGCTCATCTTGTCCACGTGCAGCTCGCGCACCGCCCGCCCCCACTGCTCCTTGAAGAACGCCTTCGCGCGCGACGCGCTGTCCAACTTCTCCTCGAGGCAGCGCTGCCGGGCATTTTTATTATTGCCATACAAAATAATGTTTATAATGAACAAGCGAAACAAACGCCCCACAAGATTCAGAAGCGAATTGAAGAAGTTGACACAACCGCAAAATAATCAAAACTTAAATGAAAAAAAAAATGATTGGGTTAGTAATATGTGAGGTAACACTGATATAGCGTGTCCCTCGGTTATTGGTAGCGACAACTACAGAAATTAAACAGACTTTTAATTCGATTGACATTGTCGATGCATTCGGACGATTTTGAAGTGTTTTCGAGAGTGGATTCGAGTTTGTGATTGGAGTAAATACAAGAGTCATTTGTAACATTGGCAACCCTACGGGTATAACAACTGTCCATGAGCGGCACTTATATACTTTACGTTAGGAAAACCGCCAGCTCACTTGCCATTTTATTACGTAATTAAAGTCAATTTACCAGTTCCTGTATCAAGCTTGCCGTCTGATCCTTGGTCAAGCCGGAGTGCTTACTTTCTGCGTCCCTCTCAGCGGTTTTCAAATTGTTCTGTTACGAAAATAAATTCAAATTGAAATGTCACCATCTTTAACAAAAGATTATGTAACAATTATTAATAAAGTTATATCAATTTTCTGTTGATAAAGGTAAATGTTTTTTAGAAAATATGTTTCACTCGATGTTTCACCAAACTTTATAAATTTAAAATGTGCCAAGTGATGTGCTTGTCGAGCTAAAATGTATAATCTGACAAACTTGAACATATTAATTTTATGTAACAGATCTTTAATTAACTAGGTACAATCGAGCAGAATTTGTGATACCGGTTATTTTAAGCTTCTTATAAGGTTAACTGTGTTATCGGGACAAGTAAGAAAACGTCGAGCTGTCGTGTTTCTAATGGTTCTCGGTAAAATTAAAAACGAAAGTCGTCCTTGCCACGTGTAATTTGCTATTCTAAAGGTATACCGTCAGCACTTCTATCTGTTTCTCCTGCTGTTGCAGCTTCATCTCCAACTCCTCGACCCTCATGTCCCTCAGCTTTATCTGGTGCTGCATGTCGTCCTCCATTTTCTGAGACGCATCCCTCAGCTCTTGGAATTTGGAAGTGTAGTGTGCTTCCAGCGCCTTCTTGGCTTCCAGCAACTGAATTGTTAAATAAATCTTAACTAGCTCGTTTGTTATGGTTTTGGTCGGGGAAAGAAATCAAAGTTGAGTTGTTAATTTTCATACCATAAATAAGAAAACAATTTCACAAGTGAATGAAAACAAGTAGATACAAATGACGCTGGGAGTGTGTTTGATTCCCACATGGGACAGGTATTCGTGTGACCCATAGATAATTGTTCCGGATCTGGGTGATTTTTTCCCAAGGCGTGTTGAAGTCAGGCAGGCGGCCGGTCGTAAAAACCATAGCCAAAACGGCATACAACATGATTCGCATGTTGTGCCGACCCCATTCAGGTGGGATAAATCGGGGCCGATATCGATATTTTCATATATATCGATATACTTCTTCACTTCTCACCCACCTTCCTCTCCCTCTCCGTGTTCCTGTAGCCGCGCAGGCGAAAGTCGTCCGTGGCGGCGCTGAGCTCGTGCGCCAGGCAGCGGCACCGCTCCACGCCGCGCGACAGCTTCAGCTCCAGCTCCTCGCGCCGCGCCCGCCACTCCCGCGCCAGCAGCTCCAGGTGGTACTCCTCTTTGCGCTTCAGCTGGAACAGTTGTGGTGGCGAGGTGAGACTTCCGACATAATAACTGTACTAGGGCCACGCAGCAGTCTGCCACTCCCTGAACAGCAGCTCCAGGTGGTACTCCTCTTTGCATTTCAGCTGCGGAGTTGAGATGGCGTGGTGGGACTTTCATGCATAGATATAACTGTAGTATATACAGAACCGTGGTAACTCAGTGTCCGGGCGCTCGCCTTTCACTCGAGCGACCTGAGTTCGATCCCCGTTGCCAGCACCGATGAAATTGTCAATTTTAAGTGCTGACTTATCACGTGCTCGCCGGTGAAGGAAAACATCGTGAGGAAACCTGCATATTTTCGATATAATAACAAAAAGAAAATATTTTGAAATTATGTGAAGTCCGCCAATCCGCAGTGGGGCCGCGTGGTGGACTATGCCCTGATACCCTCTGTACAGAGAAGGCCTTTGCCCAGCACAGCTTGCACTAACTATGGTATATAATTATAGATATGTCTGTAGTAGGTAACAGTCACTACTGAACTGCAGCTCCAGATGGTACTCCTCTTTGTGTTTCAGCTGCAAGAGTTGAGATAGAGTGGGGATTTCGAAAACGAATCGGATATCGACAGCCGTAGTAGGTGCCAGGGGTAGGTCCATTTCCGGTAAGTACCACGACCTCACAGAAGGCTTATGCGTATCGTCTGGTGTGATGTAACCAGGGCCCACTCTATTGGAAAGTGGTAACGCATTTGGAATCCTACGGGTGTTGCAAATATCAACGGTCAAGCAGAGATCAGAGTAGATGTCCACTTTTCACGATATTTTCTCCCACATCCACCCATGTTACGGTTAATAGATTTTGACGATACTACAAGATGGTAAAGTTAAGAACAGGTGTCGCGGATTGTATCCGATCACTACATAAACTTTTAACAAATAGCATGTTTCATGTTAAACTTCTTGGAACTACCCAAAGGTTGACTAATAGCTAATGCTGATGGCGTTCAGTCCGCCTCTGTACATATTTTGTGTGCAACAAATATAAATAAATTTAAAAAAAATTATGTAAATTACCTCACCTGACATTTGAACAGCTCCTGCTGCCTCTCCTTCCAATCCTCGAGCTCGTTGACGAACTTCTGCATAATAGCATCCCTGTCCAGGGCAGGTATAACTTGTTTCACCAGATCTGCGAACATTTGAACATTTAAAGAAATTATTATAGAAAAAAATTGGGTGCATAATTAGTTTCCTCTTTAAAAAAATCCAGGTGTTTAATTACTAATGAAATTTCTTATTTCATTTTTAATACATAGCCATCATAGCTGTGTCAGAGAGCTCGCTTTAAATTCAATATCCTCGAGCAACCAAAGTTCAAATCCAGGTGCCGGCACCAATTAAATTGTTAATTGCAATTTTAAGTGTCGATATCACTTACAATGGTGAAGGAATCTGCATATTAAAAAAAACTGGACTATGCAGTTATATCTTCTGGTCATTTATAGACTGTAATAACACTTGACATAAGTATCATTCTAAAGTTAAAAAACTTTCTTTTCTTTTTCCTAGTGCGGACAGGGAGGTAGAAGGGCATTTAGGTAGGGAATATGGCATTCCGTATGTTGTATGAAACAATTATTGATATTTTTATGAACTTAACCACATAAGCCTCTGATGGACACATTTAAAGAATACAATGTACATTAAAGAAGCAAATTCGAATTGCATACACATAAACTAGAGATAACTGTTTTAGAGTATGCTCATGTACAGTATATAAAAAATAAGAAATACATTTTACTCAACGTTTTCTAGTCCCAAACTAAGCAACGCTTGTATATTGGTGCTAGATAATTGATATCATCATCATCCTCTTTCCTTTATCCCACCTAGGTTGGGTTGGCACAGCATGTGAATCATGCTGTACGCGGTATTGACTATGTTTTCTTACGACCGGCCACCTAACTGACGCCAACCCGCCTTGGGGAAACAAACCAGACCTAAACAATTATTTGCGGTTCACACAAATACTTGTGGGAACCGAACCCACGACCCTTGATGCCGAAGCCAATAGTTTAGCAACGGCGCCATCGAGTAGATAACTGATAAACATATTTTTCTTTTGAAAATAAATACATACTACACATACATAAACACAGCTTTTCATAGATTACCCGTTTCGATAACTATTACAAATTATCGTCAATTAGATTCAAACAACGAATATTAAATATAACTTAACCCAGGATAGTCATGACCTGTCGAATTACACTAAAACTCACCTTTCTCTGTGTAAGGTAGCGGTGGATTTTGTTTAGCTTGCGCTTTGGTGTCTGCACTGCAAATGAATAATTTAATATATTGATATATACAAGTGAATAATTTAATGATATCTACGTACAAAGTAAAAAGTAACAACCTATACTTGTCCCACTGTTGGGCAAAGGCCTCCTCTATACAGAGTGTTAAGATCAAGTCCACCGCAAGAACCCTATGTGACTTACATAATTAGAGCAAAATATTAACTTATAATATTTCCTCTTACAACTTGATTTATTAATCTTGGTATTTTTAACCGACTTCAGATAAGGAGTGTTCAGTTATTTTTTTTTTGTTAATTTTTTTTATCAAAAACTTAACTGAGAAAACATACCTCATTCCTGGGTGATGCTTAACCTATTGGGTATGTCCATTTAACAATTGCTCTATATTCTGGACGGTCTTGGAAAGAGACATTTCATTATACATCATTGTATTATATTTTGCAGTGATCTTACGTGATAAAAAAAAAATTATGTGTAAAGTTGCCAAGGGAGCAGTAAATACCGGCGCCCATGGACATCTGCTACACCCGAGGGTTGCAGATACGTTGACAACCTTTTGTAAATTGGGCTCCAGCTACCAGACGAAACGCGAAAGTATTATACTTCCATTTTACGCCGGTCTTCTGGAAGGTTGTGGTACTTACCTGGACAAGCGTGCCATTCGTGCAACAGCCGAGGCTGCTGCGCGGCCCTACTACTGAATAAAGTGTGTTAGTTTATGCCCTAACATTCACTGTACAGAAAAGGCCCCAGCTGTGGAACATATATATGCTGTTCTTTATTTTTAAATTTAGACCATTGTATACCACACCAAGTCTTTTCACTTTCAGTGTCTGTTCTCTTAGCATCTCCATTCTTCTCATCTCCCCCGTCTCCCTTCGTCTCCGTTGGGCCGCACTGCACTTGAACATCGCTGGTGCTTGGCCTACTGCGCGCTTCCAGAAGCTTCTCTTGGCTGAGGGCGAACGAGTCGCACATCTTCCGCAGCAGCTCCGCTATTTCGCTGGAACGCAGCACCTCCTCGCCCGTTGCCGTTTTGTATCTGCGGACACGATAGTTTTCGTTTTACACGGTAGTAATGCTCACTAACAGTGGTTTGATAAATTATGAACTATCCTTTCTTCTCCTTAGAACTTTCACTACGGCTGTGGATTTTGCAGACGAGTCGCGACAAGTACCGAGCTTACGTTAGATAGAATATTTCAAAAAAAAAACTACAGGCGATAGGTCCTATTCTTTCGATAGATATTAGTTGGTGTCGGTTAAGATCTTACGATCTCTAATTGAATTCCATGTCGCTTACGATAAAAGCTTCTTCCTTAAATAAAAAGTTTTAATAATAACTTTTATTACTTCGGATTAAGGTGCAAAATCATTTCATCTAGAAAATAAAAATTTTGTGATTTTTGGCGCTTACGATATTCTTCCTAAAGTGCCACTTTTTAAATAAAAGGTCCAGGATTTTTTGGGGTCGCAGACGCATAGCTAAGACTATATCGCCTTTTCAATGAGCCTATTTCATTCCCAAACGTAAGTGAAAGGCCCGCCAGCCATAGCACTGTGCATAAGTCCCAGGGGTTACCCTTTTTTTCGCTTAAGAGTTATCCGAAAACTGTTAATTCTTTAGCTTACAGCTGAAAACAACCAACGTAGTAAAAGCCATCAGTTGATACCTAATAAGAGCTATCATTAGATAGATAATAAAAGTTGTCAACTGTTAGTCAATGAATATTAAAAGCTGCCAGCCACTAACAAATAAAAACAGTTAAAAGATAAGTTATAAAAGCTATCATTAGGCAACTAATAAAAGCTCTCATTAAATAAATAATAAGTGCTATTAGCAACTAACCAATAAAGACCGTCTACAGCTAATTATTAGAAGCTATCATTAGATAACTATTGAAAGCTGTCATCCTCTAGTGAATAAAGACACTAAATAGTTAAATATTAAAAGCTGCCTGCCACTAACAATAAAGACATAAAGAGAGTTAAAAGCTATCATTAGATAACTAATGAAAGCTCTCATCAGATAAATAATAAAGTCTATCAGCCAATAACATAAACAGTTAAAAGTTAACTTATAAAAACTATCATTAGACATCACCAACGAATAAAGAAATAGTTAATTATTAAATCTATCATTAGATAACTTATAAAAGCCGTCACCTAGCCGTGTTCCCAGCCGACTTGTTGGTGTAAGCGACGCCGCCGACGTCCCGATCTATGTGCGTGCAACTGCCGCTCTTGTAGCACACTGCTTCCTTCTCGAAGTTTCCATCGACGGCCCCCCTCTGCAGCTGGGTGATGCTTTGGGACGTCAACGTGTTGGGTCTCTGCAAGGGTTGCCAGTCCAACTCAATCAACGACCCATGACGCAGGAGATCGTGGGCTCGATTCCCACGCGGGACAACTATTTATGTGAACCGCTGACAGTTATTTCGGAACTGGGTGTTTGTCGTGAAACTTATGTTTGTACAAACGTCCTTACAATAATGTTATCATACAGTAAGGGACATTTTTTTTTAAAAAGAAAAAGAGCGTTTAGGAATAAAAACAAAACTAATTAATTATCTTTTTTGCATACTCTCCTTATCATTTCAAATGCTTCTCTATGTGACTTGAATCTAGCATTTTTTAAAATTTCGTCATGTGCCAGGAAAAATACATTTTTCTTTCTTTAATTGTTGATAATTCCTTTCTTTTAATAAACAGGTATATTATACAATATTACACAGTCGCTCGCATCGGCGTCTCATCTTTTTCTGTCTCGCTCCCACTTCAGTTTGATATTATAGCAGGTCTAGTGAACTATTTCATCAAGCGACAACTTTGCACTTCACGATACATTACACTTTACCGAGAACCCAGAAGTATATAATTTGTTATTTGGCTAAGAGCGTTCTATTTTATTTATTGTATATTACGTTACGTTATATACACGCACGTGTTTGGTGTCACCCACGCCGACGTACTTGAGGCACGTCTCGATGTCTACGTATGGCCGGCGTAGAGGCGCGTTGTTCGGCGCCGTAGCGGGAGGCGTAGTCCCACACCGTAGCACGTAGCAGCGCTCCTGTAGCGTCAGCGCGCCGTCAAACTCGCTGACGAAATGGCACACGTCGTCTGTGGGGACCAGCCTGCGCAGGTCCAGGCTGCACACGCCTGGTGAACGACGTGGCGGATCTTCAAATATTGGCCTCTATAATACACTCAATTTATGCATTCATATAATATGAGTCTTGCTTCATTGACAAACCGACTTCGAATGTAAAATTCGTAGTTAAATACAGTAACGTACATTTAGAAGGGCATGTGAGCTTCCCAGAACATTTTTCTGAAAGTGATTGTATAAGCAAGAATATCTTCAAAAGAAAGTTAAAGGCCTTTTAGATAGATTATTATAAAAGGAACATTACTTAGATTGTTCCTGTTTTTCTTTAATTTTCTATTACCACTTATTGTTAGTTATTCTTTTTTATGAAGTATAACCTATGCTAATTTTATTTTGTTATTTAAGTGACAAATATATAAGAGTGCATTGTGTCGCCGATAAATTGTTTTCACAACTTGCCGAAAAGTTTTGTGGCGACATTGTAATTTTATATTGTAGTCGAATGACCCATGCTCCTTACATTGTGCAACGCAGTACAGTTCATCGCGAGTAACTAGCGAACGCACACTGTCATCATCTCATCTCCTCGTCACTATAGGGAGCCATAAATCACTAACCCTATAGTTTTTATGTTGTATTGTTTACTTAATAAATAATAATAATAATTTCCGGCAATCTTTTCCCCCGCCCGGTAGAGAAAATATTTTTATCGCGGTCTTTAATTTTCCAGACTTAAATTACATTATACTTACCAGTGTTGAAAATATTAAAAGAACGGGCACGCACCAACTTCTTTATCGGCGACGCAGACCCTTACAACCAAGTGTGGACACTCAGTGAAGTAGCGAGCCAGGGATGGTAGCCCACTACGGAGACGGAGTGAGGTGCGCTGGTTGAAAGCCGCGCTGCAGCCCACATTATGCCGAGTCGAGCTGACCCTGCAACACAATCATAAGTAGCAATGAAAATTATAAGAGAAGATAGGATGAGAATAGAAGTAAAAAGGCTAAAAGCAAAAAAAAGAGTTCATAAATCAAACAACATAACTATTGTACATTATTGGTTGTACTAGTTTATTGTGTACTTTTAATTTTTTATAGTTGTAAACCCTGCACTTAAGATGAAACATTAAAATTTGTTATTAAAATGGACGAAATGCTTTTCGACGTTGTGGGATCCGATCCTACGTCTTCAGGATTCGCAACCAGATGTTTTGAACTAAGCTAAAGCATTTTTCCTACAAATTTTATTTTGAATTGTGAGTCCGGAAGACGTAGGTTCGATTCCCACAGGGGCGAAAAACTTTTCGTACATTTTCTCTACTAATTTTCGTTATTGTGTACTGCTTAAAGAATAATCAAGTTACCTATCGGTCATAATATGGTGTGTAAATATGGAATACGTAACACAGCAATCAGTGGCGTCTTTTCCCATGTCATTAGGCAGTAACTGAAAAGGAAATAAACTCACATTTTATATGAACAAGGCAGCTCAATAAATAATACAAATAAAATAAAAAATAAAATTAATTAAAAATAATAAACGTGGAGCAATTACGGATTCTAATGGAGCATTTCAAGATCAATTAATTGGCATATCTTTTAATTTAAAAAAAAATATTACAAAAATTTATAACTTCCTTCCGGTGGTACACGTGCCATGAATTAAACAACTCATGACCAGCAATCATTGGATGTCTATGGACGACGTAAAAATAAAACATAATGATACGTATTAATTTATACAATCTTACTAAGTCCAAGTTCTCAACAGATCCTATCACAAAGCTTAATATGAAGAGTTGATCCCCAGCGCCAATTTGTATGAGGCCCTCATCACATAACAGCTGCGGCTTGAGATCAGGGGAAGAAACGGTTTTCTTGCTTTCGTCCATGAACTCTTCTGGAATAAATACAAATAAAAGAAATCTTAAATTTGCTTTGTTTGCTATTTAAATTTTCTCGAGTCATGAAGTTGTTAAAGGTGACTAAAAGGGAACACTTGGTCCAAGGGCAATCTGGTTGAAGACTCTGAAAAGGCCTTTCTCTAAAATTAACCCATTATGGATGATAGCACAAATTGATTGTTTTTTGTCAAGCAGAGACTAAACTGTATTCTTTAGAAGATCAAAAAGCCAAGGAGGAAGGATTATTTTGAAGTTAATTTGTTTTCCAATAAGATTGAAGCAAAATGGTACTATTATATTGATGTCAGTCTAATGGGTTGATAGGACAAAAATAGTAAATTAATATAATGATGCAAAAATTACCAAACTCAAAATATGATAAGAGTTCTATAGCAAACATATACTTACTCAGTGTTGAAAGCATTGTTTTCGCCCCATTAGCACTATTAGGAGAATAAATGGGTGGATATGCCACTTCATTGCTATGAAACATGCGTAGCTCATTTCGCTGAAATAAATATATATGATTACTGTATAACACTACAATGTACTTGTATGTTATGTATCACACCATTTTACTTCAACTGCTTTGTTAATCATTGTTTATGTACCAAATAATAATGTTAAATGAAGTATAAAACATTATGTTCAAAGTATTTTTTTGTTAATGTAATTATTATAAGATTATCTTTGTAGTTATCTTACTGGAGTTAATGTATGGACTCGGTCTTCAATAGACAGACTCATCAATAATTGAGGTTGACAACATTTTCCTTCTGATTTTATGCCTAGTAATTTATTCCATGAGTATTTCACCTGAAATCATAAAAATTTTAATTTTAAGCTACAGTAACTGACATACTTTACAAAAAAGCTAATTCAACATTTAACTTTAGTACAAATTAGTTATTGTAAAAATTAATAATTTCAAAAGAAAATATTTTAGAAAAGAGAACAATTATTGAAACAGCTAGAATCACAAATAAAATACTTAAATCTATTTTTATATTGTTTAAATAACTTCATCAGTCCATGACTGTCGATTGTCAGTATAGAAACAAGGCAATAACTAAATCAGTCGAAACTTACATCTATGATTTTATTAGAAGGGCAAGGTTGTGCGCCCAGCAAACTTAGTAGGATATACCCTATTTTATCCTTCCTCCCTTGTGAGCCCATTGTAAACACCTCAACCTTAATTGGAACATTTTGTACTCGCAGACTGAAAAAATTTCATTAATGTATCACTAATTCGGTAAATATAAATTGTATAAGAAATAGTACATAAAGTAAGAATATTTTACCTTCGAAATCTTCTCTTATCTGCTTCCCAAACTAGCTCAGCATCGAAAGCTGGCGCATGAGTAGGTACCATAGGATCTGTCTCTAGCATATACCCATTAAGGGAGCCACTCACTATAAACGGCGAGCGAAGAAAACCAAACCCAAGTCCTATTGAAAGTAATAAAACACGCCTCTATTAGCGTATAATTTTAATATAAACAGTAAAACTTGTACTATTTGTTACTTGCCTTCCTTAACATGAAGTACAATTTGAATATTAGGTCCACGTAATTCATCCATTTATATTTTAAGCGCAAATATGTAGTAAAATCAAAATTAAATATCACCTACACGGTATACAAACTTTCCATTTTTAAAATTTGTTTAGTCTCAAACTCAAATTGACTTACAACGATTTTGGTGTCGCCATATCTTTAAGAAATTAAATATTATCTACCTTAGTTTAAAGAAAAAAGTGTAAATGCTGTAGTTTCTAAACAAATTACCTATTTTTATTTTTTACCTATTAATATTTTTTTTACAATCATTACAAAAAAAATAAACTTATTACATTATTACTTACAAAGGGCAAAAAATATTCTTTGCGTGCAACGACACTAACAAAGTAAGTTTCCAATTTAAAAAATATATATACCTAAGTTGGACCTTTAATGTATAAAAACTAGCTTGCTATTAAATTATCCAATTTGTTTCCGAATAAAAGAAGGTAAAAACGATCTCATAGCTTTTACAAAACATTTTATAAATTTTGTAATAAATGTAAAATCAAGTAATTTTTAAGGCCTCTTTGGCAATAAATTTTTTGGGAAAGCATTGGCTTTTCCTAAAAATTTATTACGAAACCTCCCGAAATATTTGCAAAATTATATTAATAGCAATACAGAAAATATAATAAATTTGAATTAAGCTTCAGATAAATCCGATATTTTATTTTTACTTTACATATGTAACGGCGTAACATAAGCTATTTAATAAAATATATTATGAAATAAATTTTACATCTACTATTTTACGGAATTTTCTTACTTTATTAATTTTCAATTTAACAAAATAAAATAATTAATCCGACTTGTTTCCGAATCTTCCGCTGTCACACATAATATTTCGGTCGGATTTCCGTTAACTTTTTTTATATGTCATTGAATTTGAGGAACGGATTTAATTAAAGATTAAGTGTTATTTTTATAAAATACCGGCGTCTATATTAATACCTTTCTTTTAAGTATATTAAAATGAGAAAATTTTTATTTGAATATAAGACGGTGCGGAGACAACCTTCTGAGTCACAGACGTCAACTGATAAACGGTAAAGAAAAGAAAGAACGCAGTTGTGCTTTTAATTTTATAAACTACCCTATAAGTTATTATTTGATATACATAAATGTGGATGGCATGCTTGCTTTGAATGGTCAACGAGTCATCTGCGAGTGAGACCACGGCACACTGGATCGCGGGCCGTCCGGCGCGGATGAAGTGGTTCACCGGAGCGCGACGAAAAGTAATTTGAACAAAAAAAACCGAATTCAACTCATTGCGATTGCGAATGCCCTGTTGTTCGTGATGTTTTGTCTGACCGCACAATATATCGGCGGTCATTCTTTGTTGCTGGACGTTTTTACAGCACTCAATAGTGTAAGGCGCCGGTAACGTTCCGCGTTTGCAGTGAACTTTCAGTTTTTCTTCTAAAGGTTTTAATATACCTAGTTTTCTTAATATAAAGTTTTGAGATAGGTTGCGGTGCGTTATTGTAAAACAAAAGTGCTCGTTTGTGAATATGGGTGTTTTTAAGTGGTTGCGGCGGTGAGTACGTACTTATTTCATTATTTACTTTGACTTATATGATGATGAAATTAGACAATGAAAAACGTTGCTTTAACACTTAAACGCTATATATAGTTGTTTAAGTACTAAATTGAAAATTCAATTTTTTTCTAATTTATAACTTTACTATGTGAACCAAGTTTTGACCAACAGATGGCAGAGATTTCGTTATTTATCTTAAGACAATAATAATTATTGTTATTGGGTAATCTAAGTTGTATAATAAATAACTCATTAATTCCCAATGTAACATTCGGTCATGTATTATTAAGTAACGTGTAATTTATTAAACTGTTTAACTGTTTTCGATAAACATATATTTGAAAGAGATTATGCTTTAATGAATAGTCTTTTTGAAAGTATTTTTATCTTTAATGCTTTTTATGAGTTGTGATTATATTATGTTTTATGATTATTATTTTAATCTCATCAATATATTTTGCTGTTTTATTCATTTTTTTTTAACTCTAGAAGGTCACATATCATGTTATATTAAACTATTCTTCAATGCACATTTTTTACGCATCGTATAGTAGTTTTTCTGGTTAAGAAGTCATCAAGTGATCAATATTCGTCACAATTTTAATTGCTACGGCGTTCAAAATTGAAATTTATTTATTATTACTATTTATCCATCATTCGTAGTACCTACTAAAATCGTAATTATTTAAATTAAAGACATTTTTTCTATGAAATAAATTGCAAGTGCGGACAAAATTGTGTTAATGAATGTTACATTTTATATGTATAAAGCGGTACTTATTATACGTAAGTACGAAACCAGATATCTTAATGCACGTGCAATTTATTCACCATCACAATAAAACGGGCTGAACGCACCTGAAACTATGGCTTCTTCAACGAAAGAAGGGTGCGGCTTCTTTATAGTTAGTATGTTTCATTGAGGGAATGAATCACGCTTTTTTGCCATCGTCAGTTCGGCTAAACATGACGACAAATGTCTAATTTCATATTGCCTATCAGCGAAAGCGTGTCTCGTTACCACGTGTTCTCGAATTGTTCACGATCCGATCTATTTTTTACATCGGCAGCCTTTGTTATAGTACGGTTTTCGATTGAAGTAGTCGCTAATGAGATTCCTTTCAAAGCTCATTCGCAATTCGTGCCCCGACGAGAGAAATTGTATCGTCGACTTTTTCGCACTCCGTTTGAGTGCAATATTTCTTTTTGCCGTTTTCATTTGCAAAATGAAGAAACTTCTCTTCTATTCAAAGATCTTACTATTACTATCGAAGTACCCACATTATGTAAGAAAGTAACTAAAATATTTACTCGTTACTAAATAGTACCCTCGGCTGGTCATAGACTGATAATTTGAGGGTTGTGAATTGATGGTATATAAATAACAATATCGTTCACTTATTTACATTTTAAATTTATTAATCTACTACTGCTAGACACGGGCTTCCTATGATGAGTAAAACAAAAATATCCGCGAATATCCACACATTTCAATGCTGTTTTTAATTTACAACATTTCATTTTTTAAATTCAGTTTGAATAGATGATTGATCATTAAAGATTTGCTGGAAAAAAAAAACATTCGGTATCGTATTCGATACATTTTTATTAAATGTTTCGATTTTAAATTATATAAGAAGGCGAAGTAATGAATGTGCCTAGTTTACTTTGCTACTTTGAAACGCTTCGCGAAGCGTTTCAATCTAAGAGTTAAATTATTTTAATACTCCTTCGCTTAATCTCAATCTGTAAACTCCTGTTCAAGTTTATGAAAAAAAAAACCAACGTCGGACATTCCGATTGAAGACGTTACAATGATAAGAACGCCAGTGAAGCATTGTCTACTGTACTATTGAAATATTCACTTTCACCGTGCCGTCGAAAGCTCCCGCGAATTTGCTCTTTTTTTGCTTCCAAAACGACCAAAATCGACGCTCGGGCCGATCTGTTTATGCAAGCTTTATCTTGACAATAAAATTGGGCAGCCAATGCACAGATGCTCTCTACTTCGATAGCAAAATGTCTCGCAATGCCTTGCCGTTAAAGTTCATTACGGATTTTCGCACTTATCGCCTCGTAATTTATCTCTTGCCTCTCTAATCTGTCCCCGTAATTGTGCTATTCATTATTCATAAATAAATTGTATCGACGGACAGAAATCAAAATTTGACGTTCCATTATGAAATTTTAGACCAGGGTGGCCAATGATCTATAAAATATTTACTTTTTTATGTTCAAAATATGTCTCGTTCGACTTCTTATTGTCATAGCCACCAAAGAAAATAACTATAAAGAATAAACTTATTTTTTCTATTCTATGGTTATTAACGTAGTCAAAGTGGAGATGAGAGTTTTAAATAACTGTCCTATTTCTCACGTTGTCGTTAAAATGAATTAATGTTCGAACATTTAAAATAGGGAAATCTCAATTCAAATTTCTTGGATCGATCTCAATTCAAACATTCTCATTTAACGTATAAAATATCATAAGTCTATCCATCTCATAAGCCTATATAAAATATCATCTATCCATCTTGACCTTAGTAAAATTATTGATTTTATGACGAATATTACTCTTAAATGGTGTAGCTGTGTATTAAAGTAAATAGTATAATGGCTTTTTCCGGCACACGGGGTACTGCGGATTTGCGGACTTAATGTGTCTTCGATTTTTGTTTTTAAGTTATTCAGTACCCGGAAAGTATTCCTTCATAACACAGCACGTGGTAAATCAGCTGTTAAAATTCTCTTGAACAGTTTTATTGGTGTCTTCACCTGGATTGGAACTCTAGTTCCTTGGTTACACTGAATTTTAACCGAGCGACCGGACGCTGAGGTACCACAACTTGTAATATATGCGACCAACGACCGATGATACTATGCAAGGTTACTAAGTCTAGGGCTTAGAGATAGAGAGGCAACATTAGAAGCATCTCTTATAGGCAACATTAGAAGCATTGCACTTTTACATACAAAGAAAAATGTGTACTCTTGAAGCTGACCTTTTGATCGTATTATTTAAAAACTTGTTTATGCACACTATGGCTTACTTAATGAAGCTTTCTTATTGATGTAATCGATGTGTGTTGAGCAACGCCAGGTGTTTTTGTGGCACGTTCGATTTATAGTAAGTACTAGCTGTGCCCGCGAATTCATCGGCGTGGAATTTAAAATGTTTCAACAGTGTTGGAATTTAGAATTTTTCAAAAGTGGTAGAACCACGCAGCAGTGTTCACTGTTGCACGAATGGGCAGGTCCGTCCGCGTTAGTACCACGACCTCACAGAAGACCGGCGTAAAGTAGAAGTGTTACACTTCTGCGTTTCGTCTGGTGAGTGAGGTAGCCGGGGCCCACTTTGTTTATAGGAGGCGATGCATTTTCAACCCCACGGGTGTTGCAAATGTTCATGGGCGGCGGTTATCGCTTAACATCATGTGAACCACCAGCGTGTTTACCACTTCCTCACATGAAATAAAAAATATAAAATTAAAATAAATAAAATTTCTAAATAAAAGTAGCCTAAGTTACTCCTTATCCTATCTGCTATCTATCAGTGAAAGTCCCGTCAAAATCGGTCCAGCCGATTCAGAGATTATCCGAAACAGACAGACAGACAAAAATTGTAAAAAAAATATATTTTGGTATATTTACCGTGTATATATCGATAGGCATTTATTTTAATACTACAAAGAGGCACTCCAATTTTATTTATCTGTATAGATAATACTAGAGTACTAATCACACGATGCAGTACAGTTGCGTGTAATGTACAAAATAAAGAAAATAATTAATTGTTTGTGCATTTGTTAGTAATAACAATTTGTTCGCGTTACACCGCACTTTAGTCCTAGTGTGCAATTTCAATGTTTTTAACCTCCGACGTAAAAAGGGGGGTGTTATAAGTTGACGTGTCTGTCTGTGGCATCGTGGCTTCTAAACGAGTGGGCCGATTATTTGCATAACTACACTGATGTGAAGGAACCGATTCTACAAGAATGCAATCAGCAGACAAGGGACAGTGCAGCGTAACGGCACAGAGGTTTTTGCATTGAGAAAAAAAATGTATTGGATAAAAGAACGCGTGTGTGCGTGCAAAAAATTCTCGCGTGAGCTTTTGTGCCAGTATTGTGACCTTTAAATGTTGTTGAACTGCAGTAATTTATCACGCATAAGTTATTGTTACTACATATCAAAGTAACTCACTAACTTATCGGTACGGTGCCTTTGTTCGTTTGTTTTTTCCAACACGTGCTGCTCAGTAGCCGTCGTAGTATATTGAGTCCCACGGTTGAATCTTAAGTGTTACATAAATTCTTAAGATATTTGTGGTTATAATTAATATAATAGTTTTTAATGTGAACATGCACCGATTAGAAATAAAAAAAATGAGTTGTAAACTAATAGGATAATAGTGATTCTAGTTTTATAGATGAATTTTGGAAAAAACGTTTTATTATAATTGGGGTCAGAAGTAGTTGGTGGTATAAAGTTCGTTTTCTTTTG